ACAGTGATGTACGAATAATAAAAGCTGTCACTGATTCAGAAGCCAGGGTTTGCAACGATAGACCGGAGTAGATCGAAGAATGATATCTTTCTTCTTATGGATGATAACTGTGTGTGTGTGTGGGGGGGGGGAAAGTGATGGGGACATCTCTCGTCCCGAAATCCGAATTTCTTCATGATCATACCTTCTACGGCGGCAATCAGAGGCATTCATGGAGCCGGCTTATCCTTTCCAAGGAACCAGCGGCAGTAAAATTATATATACATATATATATATATATACATAATAATAATAATAATAGGCTCATATCTCGTTTTCGTCTAACAAGGGCCCATTCACATCGTTTTCTATTTTCCAGTACTCTGTACGAACACATCACTACTTGAACAGTGTCCTCGAGCTGGATGGATCATGCGGTCCCCTGTCCATTAAACGCAAGAGAATCGCATCCGCATTCTTTTCGAAGAAATGCGGCACTCCTGGTCCATACTTCTCAAACACCAGTGCCAACGAGGAATTACCCAGTGATAGACCACCGGATTTCGTGTCACAGTCCACACAGACGTGTGTCTGTGGCTTGTTGGAATTACAGTTCATGTGGTATCTTTCCGGACGATGCGAGTGGCCTGTTCAAGGTACTCCAACCACTCAGGCGGAGCGCATGGATCACGCTAGAACCCATCGATCAGCGGTCCCCAGCACCTCGTATGAACCCAAACTAACCAACTCCAACTGTAGCGTTGGTACATCGAACTCTTTAGGGGGGCCATTGGCCTTCCATCCGTTTCCTGTTTCGACTCAGTATCAAGACTTGAGTCGAATTGTGACTGCATCGGAGTGGACCCGATTCATAACCAGTAGTAATCCTTTCGTTACCCTATTGGATAATACGCAGCCATTTGTCACAGTAAATCCTGGAGATTGCCCTGGCTGTGTATCGAACCAAACTCCAAACGGCATGCATGTGAAACCGGTAAGTAGTTACAGTAGGATGCTTTTAACGCTGTTCTAATTAATTTTTCTTGACCCATGTTCTCCAAACCGTAGGCAATAAACAGAATTCATGTATTTGTTGGATTGCCCGGATGATATTGATTTCTATTATTTTTATTGTTTCAAGTGACGATCCTCCTAAAAAGGGTGTTTGGTTAAGCTACCGTTCGACTCAATACCACCCTTATCCCAGTGATTCATCAGTTGAAGTCCCCGGGGATGATACGTTTAGTTATCATGGGGATGCATCAGGTTCATGTACGTAACTATGTTGTTGTTGTTCTGTTGTTCACACAAAGATGTAAAAAAAAATTTAGAAGACCCACTTAGAGTTTTACACCTTGAAACATTTCTGATATTGCCGTGATCTTAGTTCGTTTGTCAAGAGCGGAGTTCACGAGGGACGACCTTGTTCGGTGCTGCTATGTGATGCTGAGTTACGGCTGCAAACTGAATAGTTCAGCACTGTGCTGCTGCTGACAGAACATTGGGACAAAAATCCCGAGGATGGGCAATATATGATAATGAAAACAAAATTCCCTGATTTGCTTGTAGGCGCTATACGGCCAGGTTATCGAGACTAGAGCAGGTTTATTTTTTTCGGAGAATGCACAATTGGCACCTTCGGTTAGCCAAAGCCTGATCCGCAAGCCAGTTTGGCGGTGTTGGAAAACTGCACCCCATTGAAGGTCGGTGTCCCGGTAATCGGATCGTACACCTTTTGTTTGGGGTCAGACGTTCAAGCTGCCCAATACGCCTCAATCAAGTCGGTGGCCACTGCCGCAACCAGGGCGGTGTGTATGTGTGGTTCGTACGCCTCTTCTGGGTTGGTTTAGGATCGAGGTTTTAAGCCAACTCTCTTAGGTGAACTGCCAATTCAGTTCAATTTTTACAACCAATTGCACGTGCACTGTTCGCGGGCGTCAGACAATCGATGGAGTACAATACCAGCAAAAAGTTTAGAGACGATGTTGATCAAACTATTTCTCCTGTGGTTTTTGCAAGATTATCTGTTGCCTTTCTTGCAAATCGGTAAATTGACCGATTCATACCATTCTGTTGGAACTTGTTCCCTCTTCCCGGAGTTTTGTTAACTTCAAAACCAAGACTGGACCTTCTTCCTTAAAAACCGATGGGGATAATCCGTCTGAGCCTGAGACCTTATATCTTTTAAGGCAATTTATTTCGCTCCATTTCAGATGGAAGACTAATGCCAACTGGTGGTATCTACCCATTTGGAACAGATATATAAAGGTCTTGTGTCGACGGGGGCCAGCTGAACTGTGCCCTAAAATGTTCTGCCCATCGTTCAAGACGGCGTTGCTGAGTATAAATCAATGTGTCGTCAGACTCCATAATTAACTGACTTACGCCTGCTTTCCTTGGACTCGTTCTCCTAAATAAACGAAAAAAGATAGATTCTCCAACTCGGTTCTGATCCCGGATTGTGGCTTTACTCAAGTGCTTGACTTTTAGCTATTGTAGTAGCTATTTCATGTGTTATACATGTCACCCGACATACTTCTTTGTCGTGCGGTGTTCAGCGATGCCAGAAGTAATTTGAAGACCTACTGTGATCCGATATGGGACTAAGCAAATCTTGACTATTGTACTTAGTCATTTAGGTTGTGGCAGAATTCCACGTTAGGGTGGTGGTGGCGCAGTGGTTTAGTTGCTGTCATTAGAGTGCTTTGGACCCTATGGTCCGAGGTTCAAGCCCCGCTACCGCCACCCGACTTTGGTGGTAGGCAACTTTGCTGTCGTCCGATTCAATACCACGCCTAACTTATGTGGTTCTTCATTCCAAATCCCGGGACTTGGGTTATCAGTTTCCATGACAGAGGAGNCTGCTGTTTACCACACAAATATGTGTAGTAAAAAAAGAGAACCTGATCAGTGGCTATAAAGACTGAGTAATAACCGAATACTCTGAACAATGAATCTCATGTCTCTACTCACGTTCTGCGCGTATCGAGGTCGCGCACGCATTTTATGTCTTCCTATTTCACAACCTTGGTCCCTTCGATAAATAAAAATGGCAACTAAAACCAAGGAATAGTTTTATGTGAGGTTGACGGTAGCGCAGTATAAACCACACTAAGACCTACTCTAGATCAGCAAAACAATTTATTGATAGCACAATTTCCCGTTTTGAATTTGAATAGAATTACTCAAGACAGATTTACACTATATATTACCG